ACTTTACTAAAAAAAGAATGTAGATATATTGCACTGGTGGTATTGACTGAAAGACTCTCTAGTACCAATTTTTAAGTTCTCTTTTTCTCATTGGAAGTTATTTACTAATTATGATGGTGGTGAGTCTGTTGGTGTAGAACAGCAATAATCCTGCTTTACTTCTAAAATGTTGTCATGGAAGTGTTCTTGAAGGTAATGAAATGAAGCCCTTCCCCCAAATATATTTGCAAATAAAAATGTTTTCGGAGGCACATGGGTGGCTGAGTCAGTTAAGTGTCCAACTCAATTTTGGCTCAGGTCATGATCTCAGGGCTGTGAGATCAATCCCTGTGTCGGGCTCTGCACTGGGTGCACTGGTTGCGTGCTTGGGTTTCTCTCTCTCCCTTTCCCTTTGCCTCACCCCTTCTTTAAAAAAAAAAAAAAAAGTTTTTCTTGCATTAATTTTAAGTAACTAGAAATCTCCAATGTAAATATTGGAGGCCAGCATTTTATTAAAAAAATATGATCTACAAATAAAAAATAAATAAAATACGATCTACAGATAAACATTTGAATACAATGAGTAAAGAAAATTTACTTGCTGCCATAGAAGAAGTATTATGATTTCTAAAATCTTACTATTGTTGATTCTGGTCAGTACTATTCCCTAAGAGAAAAAGTCACTTAAGGGGAGTGTTTTCAATTTGTGGGTAGTAACTTCTTAGTAGGTAGTAAATCAATTTACTGGGTCATAACTAGCATTATTTTTAATGAAAAAGAATAAAACAGAAATATTAGAGTATATCCCATTCAGTCCAGGTGAGTAATGAGTGAACAAGTGAGTATGTGTATTAAAGTGAGTTTGTATACAGGGTCAAGATGTAAAATGGAGCTCCAATAAAAATGCTGAACACCACTATTACTCTTTCTCCTTTCTAAGAGATAACATGGCTCTGTACCACAGGGAAGCATAGTGCAAACATTCATTCATCTTACTGATATATTTCCTTTCACAACAACCTACTCAGACTTTAATTATTTCCTTTTCTTTACCTGTTGGAATTCACTCTTACTTTGACCTCAAAATATTTTTTTTTTGGTTCCTTATTGCAGATTAACTTGATAGAATATACTCGGCCTTAAATAATTTTAAATATTTTAGAAACTTTAATAACCAAGGTGACCATATAATTTATTGTCCAATCCAGGACACTTATGAAAGAGGCAATCTTCTATTACTCAGTCGGGACAACAGGGCTAACCCAGTTTGTGTAGTCACTCTACTAATAACTTAGTAATGCTGTGTTTTTAATACTGCCAGTATAAAAAGGCTATCATTTAAATATTAAACACAAAAAATTCAATAGTAAAATTAAAAGTCCAAAAGCATTTAATATGAACTACATAAGATTTCTGATTTTTAATGAAAATTATGTAATGTTCTTATTAGATTGTATAAATAATTAACCAGGAAAAAATTTGCATGAGCAGTTAATCTAAAGAGAACAAAACCTGAAAAAGAAGTCCACCAATAGTGTGGTCTATCTTAACTGTAATAAATTCCTATTTAGAAGTATGCCTTGAATTTACAATATATGATATAAAGTAAACCCTTTGGCACTAGCCTCTTTAGACAAAAATTCATTTTAAAAAAGGGAAAAAAAATGCTTCATAAATGATTATCCACAAGCACATGGAAATTATTAAATAATTATTTGAACTTGCCCAATGGATTATAAATTTCTGGGCAAAATGAAGTCTATTCTTTTTTGACAGTTTAACTCTGTCCCAAGTATGGCTACCCTTCCACGTCTTCAATTCCAAGCTTTCCTACTTTATGTCCTTTTACTAAAATTATGAAGCGTATTATATTTTAGTTTATATTTGTGACCATATAAATTAGTTTTGATGTTACACAGTTCCAGTATTCTAAGCATTTTCTAACTCTTACCACAAACACACACACACAAAAAGATTTCTTAGGGCTCCTGATTCCTAGCTCTGTGTTCTTTCTACTTCATTTTTGTCATCTCCTCTTTCTCAGCTTTCCACCAGAGGAAGAAGGGTCTATGGATGATAACCTTCAAGGGATACAAAACCTATATACAGAAAACTTTTTATCTGTAGATGAATAAGTGCATGTTTCTGGGATGGGGCCCACAGCTTTCATAAAATTCTCAAAGAGGTCAATGACCCAAAAAAGACTGAGAACTATCACATTAGAATTGCATGAGTCATCAAGTAAATAGCTATTTGGGGAAACAGAGGAGCATCCTTTTTGATCTATTCAGGCTAGCTAGAATATTTACCTCCCTCAAAAGACTGCTAGTTCCTACAGAAGAGGCTAGGAGCTGGTGTTTTCTAAGAAGGCATGGGGGTTTATTCTATCCTAGGTAACCATGCAGACCTTTAGCATTTACTCTAGGGATACCTAAGCTTTTTCTTCAAGAGGAGGCCACATAAATAAAATCCACATGAATAAAGACTACTTGAATTAGGTACCAGCCATTCTTATGGAGGGTTTAGTCCTACCTATTTTCCCTTTACATTGTTCCAGCTTTGTCATCTACTTAGATTAAGGTAAGATTTTTTAAAAAGGATTTTGTTATTTCTTTCATCAAAACAACATCTACATATTCTTGAAAAATAATGCTTGTTGCTCATATGAATTGATGAATCCCTTATAATAACCCAGTGGAACCCTCCAGAAACTACAGGTTGGGACCATTGACTTACATCTCTGAAACTAATATGGGGGAAGAAAATAGGCACGTGGAGTTTGTAATACAGAACGTTCCCATTTGGAAAATTAAAAATGTTAATAAAGCTGATTAAAAAAAAACTTCTTAGTTGGCATAAGTAAGCAGCAAAGACATATTCCGTGTAGCTCTACTGGTCAAGAAGCTTTCAAATATCAGGAGGAAAGTTTCAGAATTTCTAAGAAAAGGGTGCATGAATTTTTTATTTTTCCTAAAGTGGGTGTGGGCTGTGGAAAATACCACACTAGACTTTTTTCAGCTTTTCATTTCCCTTCTCTTTGCCTTAGGACTGCCAAACACACAATTTATATTTTCTAACACTTCTGACATTTTGATTAGTATTGAAGGTATTTAAAAAGTAATATCCTCTTTTTTTTTCTTGATGCCCTAAGAAATGTATCCCCATTCATCCTATATTACTTTTTTCTTTAATAATGACATTTTTTTTGATAATAAAGTATTCATTAGAATGCACCCTTGGTCAGTGAAGAGTTATGATCAGTTATTTATAAATAATTAATCCTACGTTTTGAAAGATTTTCAGATGATGTAAAACCATTTTTTAATGGCCTACAAAATCTGTACTCGAGAGATGTGCCTCATGGAGTATTTGCAATTATTTGTCTGAATTGTCAGACTGAAGCATTTTTTAAAGTCCTCTAAAATCTAATCCAGGCCTGTTTCTTGGGTCCCCATTCTTTGTAAGAGTCTTATTTATTCAGTCTTCACCAGAATGCTCCCTACCTTAAAGTGAACTTCATTTGAGGATTTCCAATTGCTTGTGTTCTGTATGTGGCAGACAATAGTATTACAAACATAGGTCTAGGATAAGACAGCCTTGATTTTTCAATTTTGCTATGAATAACTACGTAAGTTTGGGTAACTTGCTTAAATTCTCTAAGCCCCAGTGTCCTGTAAAATTGAGACAATTATTGTACCTACAACTCATATGGTGGTTGTGAAGTTAAATGTTACGCATGAAAATTGCACAGCACAGTGCCTGACACATAGTAAGCGTTCAATAAAAGTTAGTGATTATGGTAACAACGATGAATTTCTGTTTCTATAGTCTTTTATTTTCACTGCCTCCCTGCTTCTAATGTCAGCAATCACCTTCCAAGCCTGATGAAGATAGGAGTAATATCATAAAAACTAAAACCTCACAGTAAGAGGTTACTAATCCAAAAGTAAAATTCACTCTATTCTTTTAATACAGTCAACGGTCATGCCTGGTCATTTGTATATCAAGTCAAAGGATAAAGCAAAGAAGCAGAAGAAAGAAAGACATTAGTATGAATACAAGTGTTTCTTTGGTAGCAAGAACATATTGGATGTAAGCCATAGGAAGACATGAGGAAGAAAAAAAAGTTGGGAAAACAACTAGAAGAAAGCAGAAGGCAGAGATCTAAAAGAGCAAGAGAAATAAAAAGATTGGAAGGAGAATTTTAGGCAAAAGGATTTATGTGGATATATTTAGAAAAGAGGGTATATTTTAAGACGTGAGAGAAATGGGATTTGCTAAAGCAGGGTAGCTTGAAAGGCTACAAATGAAAAGAGCAAGGCATTTTGTAAGGTAAAAAGCAGTATTACATGTGAGTAAGTTAATACAATTTTTCACAGGCTAGTAATATGAAGAGGTATCTGCAAGGTTGGGCTAACCAACCAAAAATAACACAGAAATGTGCATGCTAACATTTATGTGCTTGGCTATATTTATTAATCCTAAACATAGTTTAGGATCATTAAAAGAAAAATCTATTCAGTTGTCAACATGGGCCATTATTAAGGCTTGCCCCTTTAAAGATATGATCTATAAACTAATGAAAATTCCTTAGTTTTCTAATCAAGCTACATGTTTGAAATTTCACAATAATTTCTTTTCCTAATAAAGCATTTCCTCAAGCTAGAACTACAATCTTTTTTACCAAAGAGAGGTGCTTTACTGGAATCCACTAACAAAAATAAATTTAAAAATCAAAAATAGTATAATTTAAAAATCAATGGGAATTATGTAGACTCAAAAGTTTCACACCTCTACTGGGTTTTTTTCCCCCAAATCAAGTCAATAAGAGCCAAATGAAAAAGAATAACTTGCTTAAAATTATATCTAACAGTTTACAAGTTGCTGAAATTTAATGTATATTCAGTCTCAACTGTGCTTACCAAAGAAAGCTATAAATATCATCTGAACTAGCACCAGTCTGGTGAGAAAAAAAGTGTACTGTACCAAGCAGACTTGCTGTGTTATCTGTTCAAACATACCTGTACCAGTCAAAAGTCCAGCACTCTTCTTTCGTGCATAAGCGCGTAAGTGGTTGGACAGGCTAACAGCACTTGTAAACGTCGTATTGCAATGCACACATGTTCTAAGCTTCACAGGCATACCTATCATTCAAAAGAAAACTATAATCCAGTTCTCACTTCAAAAAGTGAAATTTTCTTAGCTAAAAGCGTGAAGAAAAGTACCACAATAAGGATGGTTTAAAAAACGTTCATTGAATTAGCTTAACTTAAAATAAAGAGGGGGAATTAAGTTAACTATTAGTTTGTTGTTAGTATTTAGAGCCAACCCATGCTCTTTGGAAATGTGGAAGAGGAGTGCCTTGAACCTCTGAGCTCCTCTGGATTTAATACCTATTATCACTTTCTTGCAGATTTCTGTGTTACGCAGATCATTTCCTAAACCTAAAATACAATCCTGTGATTTGAAGAGCACAGTTCAGTTGAGAAGTTTCAAAGCTTACGACATTACCAATAAAAAGAATTAAAAAGTCTAGTTGACAAAGTGGTAATTAAAGTGTTTTACCCACAAAACCGTATAAGGCTCAATACTAAATTAGGCTTTCTGATGAAGGCTGGAAGAAAAGGTGGTAAAACACACCACTGAGCAGCTGTTAGACACAACATTTTATCCAGGGCATTTTATGTTCATTACTCTGAATGCGCAATCAATAATGAAAGTTAATGATTTGAAGTTTTTTGCTAAAACCTTTGTGCTAAATAAATGATCAACAAGCTAACATCTTAGTCATCACAGGAAAGAAAACATGTTGAAACAATAAGAAACTCCTAACTTCAAAGACAATCCTCACTCCCCCAACTCCTTTCAGTTGGTTTCTTCAACAGTAACTATGATAATCAGCCACAAATACACTTTCCATCTCTCAAGTGTACTACACCTTAGTCAACACAGCTGATACACCTTTCTTACATTTTCTCCTTCTCAAAAAGGTTGAAGATTTGACTTTGAAAGACTCTCTTCATACAAAAGAAAAGAACCCTATTAACCAGAAACCCATACAAGACAGTTTTACAGACCACTTACAACACAAGGTAATCTTTCCTTAAATCAAAACTGCATACAAATATCTGGGCTATCCCAATGTCTGCCAAAGTAAACAAATCAACATTACCATAATTGTATTCATTATTAATCCACTGATGAGTTACTTTTACCTTAGACACATTCAACTCAGGGCTAAATTATGAGACCCCCTAAGTTCATCTTCAACATTCTTAACCTCCAAAAGAAACCTACAAAGACACTTAAAATTTTTCTAGTCTAAAAGTATAAGCCATACTTAGCAAGAACACATATAGTTTGGCTATTTTTATCTGCTACATCATTTGCCAGCACACACAAACTATTCTTTTGGAAATGAAAAACTACTGGTGCACAAGCACTAACCTAGATCATCTGTTCCATTCTTTTAGACCACCACTGCAAAATCTAAAACCCCAAACAAATGTTTTATACTTAACAACAGTTCTCCAAAACCAAACTATCCCACAATATAATGAGGAATTGGAGAGGGAGACGTTTCTTTGGGTTAATCACAACACACAACAGACACCAATCCATTCGGTTTAAAGAGTCTATTTTTTGTTTGTTTGTTTGTTTATTCGTTTGACCTAAGCAGAAGGAAAACCAACAGCTATATCTTGAAAACATTATCACCCTGGAGCACTGGCAAATATAGGACAGGTATGCCATTTCAGGAATGCTACGCTTTTGAACAATGTTAACCTCCCATCCACAGGACCATCCCCCAGCCATAGCAAATTTTATTTTTACAGATCACCTTTTTGTTTGTTTGTTTTTGTTCTCACCTTACATTCTGACCAAGAAATGAGGCACAGAGAATTCAGTGCTGATGAGCATCAACTGATGATTTATATAGAAATGACAGTATAACCAATCTCTGCAAAAAAAGCAGCTTAAGTAAAAAGATTCTAATAAAGTATTCTCTACAAATATTCCATACAAGTAAGCATAACTAAATTGTGTTTAAACTCTATACGACAGTCATAAACATCCTCTTACCTGAGTGCATAGTCAAATCCATCCTCTGTGGTTGATACATCAATGGACTGTCTTCACTTAATGGAAGAACACACTTCTGAACAAATCTCTTTCTTGCAGTTTGATTATGAATTTTTTGAGGAGAAATAGCAGAATTCCTTTCTTCTCCCATCCTTTTATTTTTAAGCAGTTCTATCAGTGTAAGAGACTGATTCTTTTTTCCACTGGGCAGTTCTGGTTTTGTTTCATCATATTCATTTAAGAAACTCAGCCCTTCTTCTTCTGATGCAGACACTGATAAAGCTTCAGTCTTTAGGCCATTACGGTATGCTTCAAGAGGTATAACATTTTGAGATAGAAAGTCATCACTTGATGCAAGTTTTTGAGCTACAAATGGTCTGGGAATAATACGACGACTGTTCAATGCTTTCAAGATTTTTTCGTATTTTTCTTCATTTTGCATCATCTCATTCAAAACACAGATTGGAGATTTGTGAGCATCCCATTTGGTCTTTCCAAGTCTTTTCAGATGGCCTCTAACATGATTCGATAATCCAATTTTAGTATCAAACCAACCACCACAAAGCTGACAAGTGTGTTCAGAAGTGGTTTCAGATTTCTCTATAGCTAAAAAAAATTTTTTAAGAATAACATCAGAATTTTTTATAAAGTGATCATCTTAAAGCCAATTAACTCTGAAATATAAAATTATGTGATCCTAATAAAGACCAAATTTGAGCATAACCTTTGAATCCTTTGAATTTGAATACAGACATATTAACCCAAATTATCTACATGGAAACTTACCTTTTCTAACTCGCTTAACAGGTGTCCCTGTGCCAGTTCTTTTGAAATGTTGCATTTTGTCACTTGTGGCTATTTGTTCTGGTGATACAACATGACGGGCTTCATAGCTTAATCCAGCTCTGTGAAGATGTCCTCGGACATGATTTGACAACCCAACACCTGTTTCAAATGTTGCTGGGCAGTAAGGGCATGATTTCTTCTCAAGAGACAAATCAGTCCAGTGAAAAACAGAACTATGCTTTGACAATGAAGTTTCTGCATTTTCTAAATGCTGAGGATCATGTATGTCATGCAAAAAGTTATTAGTTCCAGCATCTTCATAATATTCAAAATAAAAGCCATCATTTTGATCATAACTAAGGGTAGCATTTTCTCCGGGCTCTTGACCTTCCACCTTGCTTTTAAACAGCGGGAATAAGTTTACATGTTCTTGATTAATATCATTATAGGTTTCATCTTCTATAGCCTGTGTAGTGTAGTCACCTAGCTCAACATTATCCCAGGAACTTTCATCTTCTGTTTCATAGCTATCTTTCTTTTCAGCGGAATTAAGTTTTTGCAAAACAACAACAGTCATTTTATGCAAGAAATCTGGATAGCTATCCAAGTCTTCTCCTCCAACAGAACTTTCCTTCTTAGATTCCTTAACTACTCTCTTTACAGCTACACGCCTATGCTCTTTGAAGCTTTCCAGCCTTTTGGTGTCAGAGTTTTGAGGGTCTGAAATGAAACTATTGTTGTGAGAATTACTTGATGACGAGAACAGATGTAAAGAATTTAATGAACTGGCTTCTTCTTTTTTGAAATGTAGAGGATATGATTCACCTGATTTTTTGATCATCTTGTAGTTTTCATATTTGTGTCTATATAAATAGTTGCTATTTGCCTTGGCATTAGATTTTTCTTTTGCTGCTTGATGGAAATACTTAGGTTTTTGGTCAGTGCTGCTTTTAATCATAACAGTCTTGTGAGAATTGTTTTGATTGCACACATTTACACCTGACTGGGCAATGCTTTTCCGAGCTTTTTGTATTCTGTGTGGCCGCTTATGGAATTTGGAAAAATTACTTGATTGTGAGGATGATCCAAATGTTCGCTTTACATCTTGCTTTAAAGCAGAGTTCTTTGGAAATGTGGTTGACTGCTGTTTAATTAATGGTTTAGTGCTATCAATATCTATAGGTTCTTCGAGAATGTCACTTTTTCTTTTATCAAGTCCGAGAGGACTACCAAATGAATCAATGCATGATGATGAATGCAAGTATTCCATGTGTTTTTTTAAAATACTTCTGGCTGAAGTAGTAAAAGGACACATCTTACATATGTAGGTGGCTGATTTTTTGGATGATCCTAAAACAGAATCTTTCATGAAAGTCTTTTTTTGCGTTTTTCTCTGGGCTACATCAGAACTGACGATAGGGCATTTTACCACTGCTCCATGGGCAATACCTCGATGGCATTCTAATTCATTTTCTGTCACTGCCATGAAGTTACACTCTTCACAACAGTAGTACCTTTTATCTTTTTCATGGGTTTTAGCATGTTGCACAAATGTTTTAGGGCAATTGGTACCAAACACACACTGAGGGCACTGTAGTCGTGCACTTCTTCCTTCATCCTGAAGTTCTTTCAATTCACGTATTTCCTCCATCAACTTCTGTCTTCTTTCTTGGTGAATAATCATATGCTTTAGAAGTGAGTTACGATCTCGAAATGTCCGTCCACATTCTCTACAGGCATATGGCCTTGGGACATTAAGATGGCGAAAGTGGCTATTCCCATCTAAATGATACATCATATGCCTGTGGAGGTGCTTTTTCTCCCTAAAATTCACATTGCACTTTGTACAGGGGTAGAATGACGGCTCTTCGGTGCTGAAAGTAGCAGGTGACTCGGAATCACTTTCTTCACATTTCTTTTTTAAGGTATTTGAAAGAAAAGTGCTAGTATGAACGGGTGAACTGTCTTCTCCACACTTATCTGGGTTATAAATTAGATGCTGAAAAGCATCTACAGATTCCAAGTCTTCATCAGTTGATTCAGGCTTCACTTTTGATAATGCATATTTCTGTGAGTCTACTGCCTGTAGTTCTTCATTCTGTTCCAGAAAGTCTACCTCTAGCATTTTTGACTTATTGGGTATACAATTAGAATCACTAAAGCAATCCTCAGTATAACGAGTAATCTTGCTTACATCCATTTTTCGCTTTCTCTTTTTCTCTAGACCTACTTTAGAGTGAACTGGAGCTTTATCCACTGTGTCTTCATTAGTCATAAGAAATTGAATGAACTCTTTTTGGGGATCCCAGTTTGTATCATTTTCTGACCTAAATTCATCTGTACCTGAGGAAATTCCTGTCAATGTATCAACACAGTTATCTTTTACCAATAAATCATCACTATCCTCACCCACCTCTACTTGATTTATTAAAGTGCTATCTGACTTTATACTACTCCCTACTGAATTCTGAATGTCACAACCAACGGAAGCAGAGGTAGGTAGTTTTTTAATGGAATGGGTTGGATTTTTAGCATGTGCTACATCTGGTAACAAAAATAAAACTTGGTGTTGACTTGCTTTCTGCGGTGTAGATAGTTGAAGATCAGGTGCCACCTTCAAAGCTGAACAAGATTCTGTTGTTGGCTGATCCACAGGTTGTCCAGTGGTTAATGAAACACTGCCTTTATTCATATTGGAAGTCTTAGCTAAGGAGGAGTGTAAAACTGGTCCATTAACAGCAGCTCCTTTAGGCAAGATAAAGTTTTCACTAGAAACAGGAGGAGCACCAGCATGTATAAATAGAGTAGACTGGCCTCCACTTAAGGCTTTTTCAGATTTGTCCTTTGACAGTTCTTCAGGCAGAGTTAGCGTATTATTTTTCTGAAATGATGTTTGACAATCTTTTGGTTTATGAACTCCACTCTCTTTGTCTGAGATGAAACTGTTGTTATCTAGGAGTTCTTCTTTAGCACCAGTAGTATCGGTGTTTATCTTCAAATCATCCATATTGTTGGCAAGCCCATTTAACACATTTAGTCTAGAAAATGGAAGAAAAAAAATTTAGATTTGCATGAAAGAAAAAATTCTATTAGAATGTATGGAGAGTTCAAAGCACACATTTTTATTATTGAAACTTCACTGTTTATATCAAGATCTTAATAATTTTCCAAGAATGAAGAAGCACTTTAAAAAATGTGAAAGACTTCAAAAGTATCTCAAAGGTTAATTTCTTTCTGCTAGGCAACAATCCCATATTGCATATCTACAAAACATCTAGGGAACAGCACCATTAGAAATGGCCACATTATACTGGGAACTGCCTGTCTCCTTGGAAGAATGTAAGCTCTTTGAGGCCAGGTCCTATATAGTCACTCTCATATCTCTAGAACCTTGCACAGTGCATGGCATAGGTGCTTAGGCAGTATTTGGTGAATAAAGTATTAACATGTTGAATGAATAAAAACACCACTGCAAAATCAAAGCCAAAGTGTGTAAGAGGAAAAACCGTTTTCTTCCTATGAAACATAGACAGCCCATTCAAATAATGCAAATATCATCATGGTTCTGACTTCTTGACTCAGCAATTACAGCAAGGCCTTGAAAATATCCAATAATCCTCAAGTACAATTTAAAGAATCTGCTATTTGGCAACCCTAGGTATAAACTATCTGAAGTGCTGGCATAAAATTCCCTATTTCTTTTCCTTTTGTAAATGGTAGCAAGTACAGTTTATTCACTCTCCAAATATTTACTGAGCCCTTACCATGTGCCAGGCACTGCTTTATTATTAGGAATACCAGCAGTAAACAAGACAGACTAGGTTCCTGCTCTCTGATAAAGAATAAAGTCTTCCATTTTTCCCTCACAGTATTTTTAATTTGTATAACAAGTAATACTATTTTAAGATAGGAGGAATTGAATCTGATATTTAAAAATAAAAACATTTTCAATACAGTTCATTATTTCTACTATCTTTTATGGTACCAAATACACGCTCTGTAAAACATTGAGTCTAGTTAAAGAATAAAAGAATTGTTTCTAATTACTTTCTTATTTCACAATTTAGAATAAGTGCTTATAAATACGAGCTTACTCTTTCCGTAAGATGTGTTAATATAATAAATATTACAAATAAATACTATAAATATCTGTCTGTGGCATTATTATTTATACCAACAATTTTTCTGCCCCTTGTATGCCTCAGAATTCTGTCTTGAGATTGGCAAACTTCCAAAGTAATAAAAATAGACGTCCGATAAGATCATATTCAATGATATCACCCCAAAATGGTGCTAATGCAGCACCCAGCAGGAGTCTCTACATCACATACACAGAAGTTAAAAATGGGCAGCACATAAACATGTGTTAGGGAAGAGCGTGCAAATGTCAATGAAAAGAAAAGCAAACCCTGATGCTATACTATTACCCATTCCTGATATTTCTCATTAAATTACACAGAAAAAATAAAATATCCAAAAAGGAACAATCTCATTAAATCTGAAATGGACAACAGAATTTTTAAAAAACTAGCCTGAAAGACACTTATTTTGTGTTCCTATTTATTATAATCACAGAGGTAGACAAATATATGCTCAGTCAATTTGAAAGCCTTTATTAGCTTTTCTCAACAGGAAGCAATGTTGCTAACGAAGTGGTAAATTCAGTGTTAATGAGTGGCTTCACTGTTACCACCTCAGAGGTAAAACCTTCTATGTTCCATGTTCCACCCATCTGTTCTGGTGTTAGAGGTTCAGAGATGGAACAGACGCTTCCCATTTAAAGCAACTTCATTGGTACCCCCTGAACAGCAGGGTGACAAACTATGAGAATATCATGTCTGCTTGGAGACTGCATTCTCATTACCAGAATGGCTTTATATGAGCCTTCCAAAGGTTCACATTCTAAAGATACCGAACTATTTTGCTCAAAAACATAGACAGAACATATGTATATAACATATCTTCTATCTATAAAACACATCTAGCAGAAGGAGAAACAAAAGATCAAATTAAATATTGTTAAAATATAAAATGAAGTCTTTAACAAAGTTTTCCTTCACACCTAAAGAAATATGCCTTACTTGCGCCCAAATTAATGATTACCTCTACTCAAAAATAGAGGTTATTCTTTTTTTTTTTTTAAGATTTATTTATTTATTTGAGAGAGCGAGAATGAGAGAGAGAGAGTACATGAGAGGGGGGAGGGTTAGAGGGAGAAGCAGGCTCCCCGCCGAGCAGGGAGCTGGATGCGGGACTCGATCCCGAGACTCCAGGATCATGACCTGAGCCGAAGGCAGTCGCTTAACCAACTGAGCCACCCAGGCGCCCCAACAGAGGTTATTCTTTTCCAGAATATTTATTAGCACATTAATATTAAAAATGTACCCCATCAGTTAAAAAGTATGCTATAAGAAATGGCTCCGTAAGCTGGTATCTTAACAACAATAAAAATTTTTCCCTAGTTTAATTTTCAGAGTATATCTTAACTAAAAAAATGTTAAAAATACATTTTTTTCTTAACAATATTCAAAACTCATAGCTGTTGCAGTGAGATACAACGCAGAACACTGAACCATCAAAATCTGTTGCAGTGAATAATGGATCTGGAACTTTGAAATCACAAATTATTTCCCTACATTCATGCACAGTTATGTAGCATGTAGGCAAGAAAGCATTTAACCTATAAGCTAATTTCACACTGTTTCAAATAGTTTTTCCAACTATCTTTATGTAGTCAAATATATGTAACAGAGTCATCAACACCAGTTTATGTTAATATAACCAAGTAGGGGACATATTTGAAGGTTGACATTAATCATTAAGTTCAAAAAAGGGAAACTAATAAATTAAAATAATCAAACTAATGTTATATTGCTTGGGCTCCTTAAATTTCAGTGAATTTGCTATACTAATTAGGATATATTAATAAAATGCTTAAATACTATTACTATGTCCTCCTCCATGTAATCATATAACCACAGAATTTTTCTTTTAAATGAATTTTAAAATGTTCTTTAAAAAACTTCACTTTATAAAAAGCTGCAAATGGAACTTTAAATCTACATAAAACATATTTCAGTTCCTTGAGAATCATAATGAGTTCTACAACTATAACTGCCTGTAGTTATATACTGTGAGCATTAAAAAAAAAATAGTACAAAGGTCAGATCTGTCTTCAAGATGACAGATCATCACTTTTATGCCTCAAGCTAGACTTATTGTCTTAGAAATTTCAAACATCAGTATTTTTGCAAACTATCAGCACTTGCTATAACACCCTCACTACACTACATCTTGAGGTTACTACAGAAGAAATGAGGTGATAATTGCATATTAACATAATTATTCTGTAATCCCTCTGAGCAAGCTTCCTAGGTCACTCAGTAATTCAGATTAGATACAACCTTCCTGTCATCAAATCTATGCTGTCCACTTTCTGTTCATGAATGTTTTATAGAAAATTAGCTTAATTTCATTCTTTTATGTACATTATTAATTGTATTTATTGCAAGTAGGTTAATATTTTGTGGGCACTTATTACGTAATACCAACCTTTGTCATATAGTATAATTTCATACAAAAATGTAATATAATTTGCCCTCATTCCACATTAGCTCATTAACAGCTTTATTACACAGCTACAAATAAATTATAATGTTGCCCACTAGCTGAGTTACAGTTAAGATCTGTCAGATTTTCACAAACCCCATGTTCATTTAAATTATCCTTGAGGGCGCCTGGGTGGCTCAGTTGGTTAAGCGACTGCCTTCAGCTCAGGTCATGATCCCAGGGTCCTGGGATCGAGTCCCGCATCGGGCTCCCTGCTCTGCGGGGAGCCTGCTTCTCCCTCTCCCACTCCCCCTGCTTGTGTTCCCTCTCTCGCTGTGTCTCTCTCTGTCAAATAAATAAATAAAAAATCTTTAAAAAAAAAAAAAATAAAAAAAAAAAAAAAAAAAAAAAAAATAAATTATCCTTGAGAACACATGACAACTTCAGTTAGTCATATATGAGGTTGGGTCAAGAAGAGAAAAACATTCACAACTGTCATTCCAATTACAAAACAAATCTTAATTAACTGAAATACTACAGCTACAATTACTGTGATATTTAAGTCTATATATACTGTACACAATGTACAAATACATATACCCTAGCCTCACCTAGTATATAATGCAAGTGAAGACAGAGTATACTATATAACCATATCATCCAGGCAGTATCCTACTCTGGATATATCATTGAGAGAAAAATATTAAAAAAAATACAGAAATTTGTAAGGGTATCCAGCATGCCACATGATGAAATAAAGAGAAAACTTGGTATGCTTCGTCTAGCAATTAGCCAGTAAAATTAACAATCTTCAAATGTTTGAAGGCGTGGCATATAAAAGAAGATATGATCAATGTGTCTGAATCGTAAAGATGGATTTCATCTCAAGATTAAATAAACTGAAAACAGGAACCACTCAACATTGCAAAGCGTTGTTTTACACAACAGTGAACTGAATGGCTCACCAGCTTGGACTACTGTCAGGAACACTGTAGAAGATAATATGGCACTGGCGATTGGGTAAGATGATTTCTAACATCCTCTTTGATATGTACTATATAGGTTAAATTTTTGGTTATTACATTATTAACATTTAATATTATTTGAAATAATGAGCTAAAAATGGAAGTTAAAATTATACTATTGGACTTTAAAAAGATCCTCTAAATTCATAATTACTTGAAATAATCCTTTAAATTGTAATGTGTTGATAAGCTGATTCTTTTTTTTTTTAAGATTTTATTTATTTATTTATTTGACAGAGAGGGACACAGCGAGAGAGGGAACACAAGCAGGGGGAGTGGGAGAGGGAGAAGCAGGCTTCCCGCAGAGTAGGGAGCCTGATGTGGGGCTCGATCCCAGGACCCTGGGATCATGACCTGAGTCGAAGGCAGACGCTTAACGGCTGAGCCACCCAGGCGCCCCGATAAGCTGATTCTTGAACAATGATATGGCACTAAATGACTAACACACTGAGGCCACAGAACTA